AACAGAATCCCCCACCCCGGGACCCCCGACCACTCTGAGGGGCACCCGTGGAGTTGTGGACCCCCCCCTAAACCCCAAATTCCCCCCTCATTCCCACCCCAGGATTTGGGGGCAGCGCCCTTGGGGGGTCGCGCGGGGGGTCTCACCTGCAGGCAGGTGCGGCGGTGCAGGAAGGTCCCGGGGGGGCAGTGACAGCCCTCCTGGCACCCCCCCGCGCACCCCACGGCCCCCCCAAGGTGGGCGCAGCTCCGGGGACACCCGGAGCCCCCCCCGCACTCACGGAAGGTCCGGCCCGGGGGGCACCCGGCCTCTGCAGCCCCCGAAAAAACGCTCAGTGCTTGGGGGGCAGCCGGCCTCCGCCCCCAAAAAAACAGCCCTGAGCACCCCGGGGGCAGCCGGCCTGTGCCCCCCAACACCCCCGGCCCCATGGGGGGTGTGGAGAGGGGATGAGGGGTGGAGCTGTGGGGCACTGGGGGGCTCAGGCTCTCCGGGGTCTCTGGGCGGTCCGGGGTCTCCGGGGTCTCCAGGGTCTCCGGGGTCTCCGGGGGCTCCGGGGTCTCCGGGGGCTCGGGGGTCTCGGGAGTCTCCGGGGGCTCCGGGGTCTCCGGGGGCTCGGGGGTCTCGGGGGTCTCCGTGCCCCACGCCGGCTCCAGGGACCCCGGCTCCCAAGGCAGCTCCGTGCCCCACGCGGGCTCCAGCGCCCACGGCGACCCCGGGGACTCCGGGCCCTCTGTGCCCCCCGGTGGTCGTGGGGACCCCGGGGGCCAGGGCGCCTCGGTGGCCCCAGGTGGCCCCGCGCTCTCGGGCTCTGGGGACGGAAGGACACGAGGCGATCGAGGGGCCCCGGTGGCACTCGGGGGTCCCAGCTCCGGGGGTCGGGGGGATCCTGGCACGTACCGGGTCCGCAGAGCTCGGGACAGCCCCGAACCTCCCGGGGGGTCCCGGTGCAGGGGGCACCGCCCGCCGCGGCCGCGGGGTTGGTGGGAGACCTGTGGGGAGTGGGGAGTGGGGCACGACCCCCCGCTATGGGGCAGGACCCCCCGCTATGGGGCAGGACCACCGTTATGGGGCAGGACCCCCCGCTATGGGTCAGGACCCCTCAGTTATGGGTCAGACCCCCGTTATGGGGCAGAACCCCCGTTATGGGTCAGGACCCCCCGTTATGGGTCACACCCCCGTTATGGGTCAGACCCCCCGCTATGGGTCAGACCCCCCGTTATGGGGCAAGACCCCCCACTATGGGGCAGGACCCCCCGCTATGGGGCAGGACCACCGCTATGGGGCAGGACCACCGTTATGGGTCAGACCCCCCGCTATGGGGCAGACCCCCCGTTATGGGTCAGGACCCCCCGTTATGGGTCACACCCCCGTTATGGGTCAGACCCCCGTTATGGGGCAGGTCCCCCCGTTATGGGGCAGACCCCCCGTTATGGGGCAGACCCCCGTTATGGGGCAGGTCCCCCCCGTTATGGGGCAGATCCCTCAGTTATGGGTCACACCCCCGGCCGCCCCCCGGCCGCCCCCCGGCCCCGCTGACCTCCGCGCCTTGCGGTAGATGCCGCGGCAGTGGCGGCCCCCCCCGCGCCGGGCCGGGTTCGAGGGGCTGCGGAACGACCACTGCACGCCGGGGGTCCCGCAGCCGCCCGCGCACGGGCCCCACGGCGACCAGGACGACCACCCGCAGTCCACTGAGGGGGACACCGGGTCACCCGGGACAGCGAGGGGTCCCGCCGGTGACACCGCGGGGGACAGCGGGACCGGAGACCCCCCCGCCGGCAGCGGGCCGGGACCCACCTGAGCAGCCGGGGTGGGGGCGGCAGTGTCGCAGCTGTCCCTCGAGGCAGGTGCAGAGGCGGCAGCCGAGGGGCACCGGGGATCCCGGGGGGTAGCGGCGCCCCCCGGCCCCGCACGGGCACTGCCGCGGCCGCACGCACCCCGCGGGGCCCGCGTCCAGCACCTGCCCCGCCGGGCACCAGCACCCTGGGGGGGGCCGGGGGCGTCAGGGGGGCCCCCCACACCGGGGAGCCCCCCCCGAGCCCCCCGTGCCTCCCTCACCTGGGCGGCAGGGCGGGGGTCGCGGGCAGGTGACGGCGGCGGCCAGGTCGGCGCAGGAGGCGGGGCAGGGGGCGCAGGGGAGGGGGCGCAGCCCCTCGGCGCACTCCGAGGCGTTGGGGCACCCCGAGGGGGGGTCGGGAGGGGCAGCGGGGGTGGCGCTGGCAGGGAGTCGGGGACATCGCGGGAATGACCGAGGGACCATGGGGGTGACACCGGGAGGGGCAGGGGACACCTGGGTGTCCCTGGGGAGGGGTCGGGGACCCGCGGTGGCCCGGGCGGGTGGCGGTCCCCTCGGTACCTGATGGAAGGTGACACACTCCCCGTCCCCGCAGTCGAACTCTGCGCAGGGACCCCGCGGGCTGCTCCCGGGCCCGGGGGGCTCTGGGGGGGCACGAGGCTCTCAGGGGTCCCCAGGGGACCGAGGGGGCTCAGGGGGTCCCGGGGGTCGGGGCGTGTGGCCCTCTCCGCTGGGACCCCCTCCCCGCCGAGTTTCCCGTTCCCTCCCAGGGGACCCCGAGATCGCCCCCTCAGCCCTCGGGGTGGCGACACGGGGGGCACTCCCAGACCGCCCCCCGCAGATGTCCCCAGAGACGGCTCCCGGGGGTCTCACCGCAGAGCCGGGGGCTCTCGTCGGCGCTGTCGCGACAGTCGGGGACGCCGTCGCAGAGGCGGCCGGGGGGGACGCAGGCGGGGGCGCAGGGGCCGCGGCCGGGCTGGCAGGGGGGGTCGCAGGGCAGGTGGCCGGGGGCGCACGGCGGGTCGCAGCCTCCCTCGTCGCTGCCATCGGGACAGTCGCTGTCGCCATCGCAGCGCCACCCCCGCGGGACGCACCCGCCGCTGTCGCAGCGCAGGGACCGGGGCGGACAGGGCGCTGCCGGGCCGGTGACAGCGGCGGGGACAGCGTCAGTGTCACTGACAGTGACAGCGCTGGCGACAGTGCCGATGGCGCCGGTGACCGCGATGGTGGTGACAGCGTCGGCGACGATGCCAGAGACAGCGGTGACAGCGGCGGTGACAGGTGACAGCGGCGCGGGGGGCAGCGCCACCGCGCACCCCGCCGGACTCTCGTCCCAGCCGTCGCGACAGTCGCGAGCGCCGTCGCACACGGCCACCTCCGGCACGCAGGAGCCGTCGGGGCAGGGGACGGTCCCGGGGGCGCAGGTGGCCCGCGCTGGGGACACGGGGACAGCGGTGACACCGCCGCCGCCGCGGGGGAGCGGCGTCCAAAGGGGGGCCCCAGGGTGGGAGGGGGCCCCTGGGTGAGGAGGTCTCGGGGTGGGGTCCCCAGAGGGGGCTCTCGGTGGGGTGGTCCCAGGGCAGAGGGGTCCCGGGCTGGTCCCCAGGGTGGAGGGTCCCAGGTGGGGGTCCCCGGTGGGACGGCGCCAGGGCAGAGGGGCCGGGGGGGGGGCCCAGGCGGGGTTCCCAGAGGGGGTGTCCCCCCCGCGCCCCTCACCGGGACAATTGGCCTCGTCGGCGCCGTCGGGGCAGTGGCGGCGGCCGTCGCAGATGGCGGCGGGGGGCTGGCAGCCCCCCCCGGGGCACGGCAGGTGCCCCCCGGGGCAGGCGCAGCCGCTCTCGTCGCTCCCGTCGCCGCAGTCGTCGCGGCCGTCGCAGCGGTGGGGGTAGGGGACGCACCGGCCCCCCCCGCACCTGAACTGCCCCGGCCCGCAGCGGGGGGCGCAGCCTGCGGGGACGGGACCCCCAGGTGGGCGCGGACACCCCGACCTGGGGCACTGGCACCCCACGGGGCACAAGGGCTCTCTGCTTCTGGGGGGCTCCCGAGCAGCGCCACCCCCGGCACCTCCAGATGTGGGCACAAAACCCCAGGGTTGGGGGGCTCAGGGACCCTCAATGTGGGGCACAGACCCCCCAGGGTTGGGGGGCCCAGGGACCCTCAGTGTGGGGCACAGACCCCCAGGTTGGGGGGGCTCAGGGACCCCACTGTGGGACACAGACCCCCAGGGTTGGGGGGTTAAGGGACCATCAATATGGGGCACAGACCTCCAGGGTTGGGGGGCCCAGGGACCCTCAATATGGGGCACAGACCCCCAGGTTGGGGGGCTCAGGGACCCCACTGTGGGACACAGACCCCCAGGGTTGGGGGGCTCAGGGACCCCACTGTGGGGCACACACCTCAAGGCCTGCAGGGCTCTCTATTTCCCCAGGACCCCAAAACTCCCTGCAGCCCCCCACTCCCAGGACCCCCGAGCCCCCCGTGCTCACTCACCCGCCTCGTCCGAGTCGTCCCCGGGGGGACAATCGAGCCGCCCGTCGCAGACCCTCGCGGGGGGGAGGCAGCGACCCCCGGCACAGGCGAACTCGGGGGGGGCGCAGGCCCGGGGGGGACACCCCGCCTCGTCCCAGCCGTCGGGGCAGTGGGTGACACCGTCGCAGCGCGCCCCCCAGGGCAGGCAGCGCCCGCCGGGGCAGCGGGGCTGCTGGGGGGCGCAGGGGGGGTCGCACAGCTCGTCCGAGCCGTCCCCGCAGTCGTCCTCGTTGTCGCAGAGCCAGGCCCCCGGCACGCAGAGACCCCCGCCCCGGCAGCGGAACTCCCACGGGGCGCAGCCGGGGGCGGCGGGACACGGGGCCGGGCTCGGGGGGCACTGCCAGCGCCCCCCCAGGCACGTGCTGGGGGCGGGGGGCGGGCGGCACTCACACGGGGCCGGGGGTCCCGGTACCAGTGTCCCACCCCTCCCCGGTGCCCCGGCGTTCCGGTGTCCCCCTGTCCCAGTGTCAGTGTCCTGCGGTCCTGCGGTCCCAGTGTCCCAAATCTCAGTGTCTCCGTGTCCTGGTGTCCCAATGTCCTGGGAGCCCAGGATCGCAAAATCCCATTTCCCCGGTGTCTCTGTGTCCCCATGTCCTGGTGTCCCTGTGTCCCCACACCCCGCTGTCCCGGTGTCCCGGTGTCCCCGCTGTCCCGCTGTCCCGGTGTCCCGCTGTCCCGGTGTCCCGGTGTCCCCCTGTCCCGGTGTCCCCGGTGTCCCGGTGTCCCCACACCCCAGTGTCCCCGTGTCCCGGTGTCCCCGCTGTCCCGCTGTCCCGGTGTCCCGCTGTCCCGGTGTCCCGGTGTCCCCCTGTCCCGGTGTCCCCGGTGTCCCGGTGTCCCCACACCCCAGTGTCCCCGTGTCCCGGTGTCCCCGCTGTCCCGCTGTCCCGGTGTCCCGCTGTCCCGGTGTCCCGGTGTCCCCCTGTCCCGGTGTCCCCGGTGTCCCGGTGTCCCCACACCCCAGTGTCTTGTCAGTGTCCTGCGGTCCTGCGGTCCCAGTGTCCCAAATCTCAGTGTCTCCGTGTCCTGGTGTCCCAATGTCCTGGGAGCCCAGGATCGCAAAATCCCATTTCCCCGGTGTCTCTGTGTCCCCATGTCCTGGCGTCCCGGTGTCCCCACATCCTGGAGTCCTGGTGTCCCTGTGTCCCCACACCCCGCTGTCCCGGTGTCCCGGTGTCCCCGCTGTCCCGGTGTCCCGGTGTCCCCCCTGTCCCCGCTGTCCCGGTGTCCCCGCTGTCCCGCTGTCCCGGTGTCCCGGTGTCCCGGTGCCCAGCAGGTCGTGCCCGGGCTCCCAGTACACACCAGTGCCTCACCAGTTGCTGCAGCCCTGGGTCACGGTGGTCCCGGCCGGGAAGGCGAAGCCGTCCCAAAAGCAGGGGCAGGCGGGGGGCTCCACGCACAGCCCGTCTGAGGGGGGGGGCACAGGGGTGGCACCGGGACCTCCCAGCCCCTCCCGGACCCCCCAGTC